CGGCGTGGAGATGCCAATATCCCTGGTCTCCTAAGGATGTTTTATTAGTGTCCTGAGAACCTTTACTTCCAGGCAGCCTATTAAGGAAGACGTGGCCTGGGGACAGTGCCAAGCTCCTTTCAAGTGTGTCTTTGGGCTTATTGGCCCAGAACTGTTAAGAGGAGTGAAAGATTAGGCATGCATTTCCACACTGAACACTTACTTGCATATACGATGTAAACGCGAGCATGAAATTAGGAATAGCATTTCAGTGGCATGAGAGCTATGGCATGTAGACTTTCTAGCATGGGTGTAGCTGATAACTGAGCTCTGCAAAGTAAATTGAGTGCGTCACAGGGCTTCCCTGCTGTAAAACAACCCCCTTTCCAGCATCAGATTGTATGGGAAGCAATCTACACCATTTAAATTAGAGGATCTCGAAAATTAATAATTTCTTACTTGTTTTGATTTTCACATACGTTAAAGAAAGCCACACCCATTTCTCTGGTGCAGTATTTCTGAATCATATTTCAGGATTAAACAGTAAACTGAATAGCTCTAATCAGCATGTCGCCACAAGATGGGCTTTTCCTCACAGCTCCAGGCACGTGCCCTCCCCGGTGCAGACTTCCATCAGGGCCACTCTCATCCATTGTCTAACCCCCCTCCTTCCCCGACCAAGCCCTGCAGTACACACCCCTGTCAAGACTTGCTCCCAAACAACCTGCTTTACTGATTGTGAGCATCGTTCCACCCCATGGAAAGTGAACTGATGCTGCCAATTTGCGTTTATGCCTCTTTTCTCTCCGCAATCATAATAAAATGCATTATTTTAAAAGGTTCAACCTTTCTTTATTTTCTTCCCTCTGCTCCCAATCTCAAGCACCCCCAACTAAATACGGTGATTTTAATAAGCCCGTGTGGATGCAAGTATAGCTGATTCAAAAGGTTTCAAGTGCACTGAAGAATAGAGAGCTAATAATATTGGTTATGAATTCCTGATTCATCTTATTATCCAAGACAATATTTGAGTCAAAGCCAGATATCTCTCTCAATGGGACCAAAATTAGAATAAATATTATGGTCCAAGGACTGGAGGTGTAGCTTAGTGGTGCAGTGTTTAAGGCACAGTGACCTAGGTTTGATTTCCAGTACTGAGGATTAAAAAATTAAAAAAAGGAAAGAAAAGGAAAAAAGATATTTGGTTCAGATCTAGTGTAATATGGGAGCCATACTGGATTTCATCTTCCTGTTAGATATATTTGTTGTTATCAAAAAGTCTTCTCTCTGCTTAACGCTTTCTTCTTTTTATGTTGGATCAAATTTGGCTTCTCTTGGGGGAGGGAATTTGATTTCATTGATTTTTATACTGTGATAGCTCCTTTCAATTTGAATATGCACTAATGTGTGTATCATCCTCACCCTCAAACATAGTAACAGGGATGACAGCATCCATTGAAAACCAAATGGATACCATTATTGTCTTGTTTTTAGTAGGAATAGAGATACTGTTGGAAATATATGTTTATTTTGAAATGTGAGTGTAGCAAGAGGGAAATGGAAAAACTTCCATTGACTTTCAACAGGTGGAATTTCTGTTAGGTCCTGTCTGGAAAGGGATCTAGATAAATTCATAATTTGTGTTTTTAGTTACAATATACATTATAACATTTGAATATCTTATGGAATTGTGGATTAATTATTGGCATAAATTCCAAGGCATTAATTCTGGGTACCTACCAAATATGTTAAGTCATAAATACGTATTGCTTATTTCTATGATGGATTCTGGGATCACATACTGAAGAGGCTTCAAAGACAAGCAAAGGACATTTAAATCAGTTGTGTAGGAAAGACGCAGTTTTTTTTTTTAAAGAAATCTGTTAACAACACCAAGCAGTGTGATATCAACTGCAAAGAATGAGATGTTTCATTGAGACATAAAAGGTGGACATATCTGTGGGGTACAATATGATCATTTGACACAAATATACAATGTATAATCACTAAAGGGTAATACTTGCTTCCATTTCCTTAAATATCAACCATTTCTATGTGCTGGGGAATTTCATATTCTGTTTTTTCTTACTCTAAGGTACTCGGTGGAAAGTATTTTATTTTCCTTTTTAAATGTCCAAATAACTTTTATTAAATTTGATCACTGACAATTTCATACAGGTTTAGAATGCATTCTGAGTTTTCTCATCTCTGGCGACTCTCTTATTGCATTTCATTAACCTGTCAAGCACTCACTCCTCTCTGCAAGTCCTTATGGGTCCCAGAGTGAATTTGAACTCTGGTGGCTGAGTATGATCTTGAACTTCTGATCTTCCTGAATCCACTTCCTGAATGCCTACAGTTATACTTATCTGCCACCATCTCTGGTTTTATGGGGAGCTAAGGGTCAAACTCAGCACATTCAAATACTCTACCAATTGAGGTATACCGTTTCTTGGTAATTTTAACAACTATATAATTAATTGCTTCAACCAGGTTCTCCCACTATGTTTCTCCAGTGTGAAATGGAACTCCACTGAGGATCCAATCCAGTGCCTCATACACATTAGACAAGTGCTGCTACCACACAGTTCCACCCTCAGTCCCTACTGGGAAATTGAAGCTTAGTTGTTTATTTGTAAATTCCTTATGGGCAAATCCTTGCCTTCAACTTTCCCAAACATCTCTACATCTATTGGGTGTACAAGTTACAAAATAGTTTGAGTGAGGAGAAACCAGAGGCAGGAATAGAAGATCTTAAAGGTGCTCATAATTTAGATGCGAGAAAGATACTGGCCAAGTGGCAACAAAAGCATGTGCAGTGATGAATGCCTGGAATGAAGTATGCAATGGAAAAGAGGATAAATTGTTTAAGACCATGAGTCTGAAACCAGCTTGGGCAACACAGCGGGATTCTAAATTTTAAAATGGAGGTAGAAGTAGAGAACTGGAAATGAGTATTTGAGGCCAAGTCAGCAGGATATAGTGACTGAAGACAAGGAGACCAACCTAAGCTGTATATCTTTCTACTTTGAACAAATAAATGAGTATTGGAGATGGTAGAGAAGAATGTAGACCATATCAGGTATTTTCATTAAGATTTGTAACAGTAGCAGAATTACAGTTATAAAGTAGCAATGGAATAAGTTGATGGTTGGGGATCACCACAACATGAGGAATTGTATTAAAGTGTTGCAGCATTACTAAGGCTGAGAAGTGCTGGTGTAGAATATCACCTTGGTAATGACACAGCACACAGTAGACACTCAGTGTTTCCTCAGACATCACTAGAAGGGCTATACCAGAAGCTCCTGAAGATCCCTTCGACATTGGGACTCTATGCCACATGCAGATGCTCAGCAGGCGTTGCTATACATTAAAGAACAAGGAGTAGCTAATATCTCCATAAAATCAATGACTGGCATAGCAGCAAGGAGGACCATCTTTTGCGTCTTTTCCCCATACCTTATAGTTTATGTTCCTAGAGTTATGTGTGCCCATTACCAACTAGAGGATTCTCAGATTGGCATTAATACTGATCATTGTTCCTGGAGCTTGGCATTTAGTTTCCATATTCAGTGTGTTTTTGTCCCATCTAGACAGTTTATCCACACCTGGGGAAGTAGGATTAGTGAATTATTTAATGATGTTAACACCTGTTTTCTAGGTACTTAAGGAAACTCATTTGGTATCTACCATTTATACCAGCTATCTATAGTTTACACAAATTTGTACTTCCTTACATTGCCTTTAAAAATGAGAGTTGAAGAGTTTTGAACTGTAAAATTATATTGTAGGCTTGTATTAAAAATAAAGTATGAAGTGTAAGCATAACTCAGTGGTATAGGACTTTCCTAGCCCACTGAGGCCTTGCATCCCTCTCCAATATATCAAAACCAAAGCAAAGCCAAACAGAAAGGAGAATTAAAAGCTTTCCTAACACATCCGTTTCACCCTCATTTCAAGAAACATTTATCACTGGAGCTATAGTTCTAAAAACAGAAATTTGAAAGCAGAAAAGAAATGGTAGAAAATTTAATATTCTATAGAGTAGATTTAGCCTGAGAAGGAGGATAAAGCTTATCAATTTAGAAGTTGTTGTTTACATTTTAGCTACTGATTTAGATGTCCAATAAATACCCGATTAGCTTTGTGAAACAACATAATTAAGCAGCTAAGCTGTTTTTCAAACAGCTTCTTTATTCCTCAACAAACATATTTAACAAGCACGGGGATTATTTGTCTTTTTGGAACACTACTCTAGTTTTGCTTCATTAATATATGCTACAATTAACTATTGATATTAAGCAAATATGTATTTGTAGTAAGGATAGCTAAATATTAAAACTTGTGTTCAAGCTAGGTAAGGTTGTGAACACCCGTAACTCCCATCACCGAGGAGGACTGAGGTAAAAGAATCATCTCAAGGTACCTAGTGAGCTCCAGACCATCTTACGATACATACAGAGAGCTGTCTCAAAAAACAACCAAATAGCATCAATTAGTGAATAAAATAATTATCTAAGAAAGTATACTGTAAGTCCATAAACATATTAATGATTTCTTCTTTGATCATGAGGATCAATTGCACACTACCTTGAGGCAAATTGATGGGTGCACTGGTGGGTTTGAAGTGGGAGTATTGGTGGGTATAAAGGGAAGAAAAGTTGTCTCTGATTTATCTTATACAGAGATGCTTTCAGTCTCCCATATTTCACTTCTAGGCATATCACCTACTTGCTTTTATTCATTGTTACTTTAAATAGAACATTCAACAGAAAAACAACACAGTTTTTTAATCACACAAAGTACAGTCAGATTAGGGTAAGTTGAAGTTTGGGTAATAAAATTATTTTGATCACATTAAACACCTGAAACATTTTGAACTTTTATGTGTATTTGTGAGAGTTTGTCACAAGAGGTTACTTGAGATTGCTATGGGATTTCTCCCTGAATTAAATATGTTTTTCTAGAGACTTATTTTCATTTTATTATAGATTATTAAAATCTGCCTCCCATTCTGTTTTTAGAACCCTAATAAAAGAATAAAATAACAAGAGGGACAAAGGAGAAGGCTGAATTGTGGAAAAAATCCAGCTGGGTAAGCATTTCATGAGATCATGCTATGAATTTTGATATTTGTTAAAAAGTGAATATTTATAATTTTAAAAATAATTCCAAAACAATTTTAAGGACTATAATTCAAATTACCTTTTAATTGTGTGTGCTTTTATAATCTCTTTTGCATATACTTTTTTATCAGTGTTTAGGTTTTCTTCCTTTGAGGCTCTTGCATAAATATTACTTTACTCAATTAATATCAACATTCTTGAGTTTCCAGTATAGACTCAATGTGACAATACCTAACAGAACATTTTATTTTAACATGGATTCTGTGTAGGTAACATGTATTTTGTGTACGTAACAAGAAAAGTGTTAAATGATTATGAGTGCTTTAGGTTTTATTATGACTTTCCATATATTTTTTGTATTAAAACTTAAATTGAAGAAATTCATAAGACCCTCTTCAGGATAATACCTGTTATGTTGATATTACTCAACTGTCATAAATGTAAGTGTCATTGTACCATGGAGACCAAATTATGGAGAATCCATTCCTTATTATAGTATTCATCTCAGTGCAAGTATAAGGGGACTAAATGCTTAGAGAAAGTTGTTTTTTTCTCTTTTCCATATTCTTGAGTCCAGTTCAATTGGGACCCAGATTTTGACTGATAGAATCAAGAATACAGCTTATATACCTTCCAGTAACACTTAGATCCCTCAAAAGTAAACATTTAACCTCAAATAAGCTTCATATTTGCATCTTGTTTTGAACTGTCCAAGCTGGAAACTAATACAGTCACACATTTGAGTGACATACCTGTTCTAGGCTTTCTCACCTATAATAGTGTCTGAACTGAACAAATTGTGGTTTACTCATGACATTCATCCATTCCTTGCCCAGGTAAGAAGACTCAGAAAAACAAGACCAGTTTTCCCTCTTTTATTAAAAGAGTTTTCTTTCTTTTCCTGTTTTAAATTAAGTAATGATCATGTAAGATCATTATTCAGGAAAATTTTCTCCGAAGTTGATTTGTTTCATGTTTAACTATGTTCCTTCCTACATTTTCATGTATTTTCAGGTTCTTTTGTTTGCAAACTTCTCCCTGTTTGGTGCTGCAACAATGAGTGGGAAATCCCTTCTCTTAAAGGTCATTCTCTTGGGTGATGGTGGAGTTGGGAAAAGCTCACTTATGAACCGTTATGTCACCAACAAGTTCGACTCCCAGGCTTTTCACACTATTGGGGTAGAGTTCTTAAATCGAGATCTGGAGGTAGATGGACGCTTTGTGACACTTCAGATCTGGGACACTGCAGGGCAGGAACGTTTCAAGAGCCTTAGAACACCATTCTACAGGGGAGCAGACTGCTGCCTGCTGACCTTCAGTGTGGATGACCGGCAGAGCTTTGAGAACCTTGGTAACTGGCAAAAAGAATTCATCTACTATGCAGATGTAAAGGACCCGGAGCACTTCCCCTTTGTGGTTCTGGGTAACAAGGTAGACAAAGAGGATAGGCAAGTG